TTAAAAGAAATATTAACATTGTATTTGGTTCCGTACACGATATATATATTTCTAAAGTTTTTTGTTTACATTTCGTATACTTTGCACTCCTGACGTTTTTTTTTTTTGTTGAAACGTTCTGAACCCGTGCGTGCCCCTACTGGACATGTGGTGGGAAAAGAGCTTTGGAGATTATCAGATTCCTCCAGTATAAATAGAGTTTAAAGCAATTTGAAGCATGTTTTATTTTCAAAATGGAAATATGGCTTTGTGGAGGCAGAGCTTTGTGACGTCATACAGACACTCACAGACTCACACAGACTCACACAGACACCCACAGACTCACACAGACACCCACAGACACCCACATACACTCACAGACCCACACAGACACCCACAGACTCACACAGACACACAGACAGACACTCACAGACTCACACAGACACCAACAGACTCACACAGACACCCACAGACACCCACAGACTCACACAGACACCCACAGACACCCACAAAGACTCACACAGACACACAGACTCACACACAGACACCCACACAGACACAGACTCACACACAGACACCCACACAGACACACACACAGACACACACACAGACTCACACATACACACACAGACTCACACACAGACTCACACACAGACACTCACAGACTCACACACAGACACCCACAGACACACACAGACACACAGACTCACACAGACTCACACAGACACCCACAGACACACACAGTCTCACACAGACACACACACAGACTCACACAGACACCCACAGACACACACAGACTCACACAGACACACACAGTCTCACACAGACACAACAACAACCGCCATTCGCCACTAAGTGGCGGTGACGTCACCACGATGCTTGTGCCAGGCCAAGTGCACCTTGAGGCCACGTGAAGTGTCGAAAGCCCGCTGGCAGGAGGTCACGGGGCAGACCCAGGTGCCACTGGTCGACTGACCGAGATGACCGAGATGACTGGCTGATGCACCACCTGTGCCCCCTACTGTGCCAACTTGCTGTGCTTTAGCCACCCGGCGCTCCGCTCGTTGTTGTGAGCGTCGCTCCTCCGCCCTCCGTTGTTGTTGGAGGGCGACTGCCTCCAACTGCCCAGTAGCGTCCTTCACGAGCCTCCTCCACTGAGGCCGATCTTGACACCGCTGGTACCAGTCATCGGCAAGTCCACTCAGCTCCACGTCCTCCTGTACCACATCACTCCATCTCTTCTCCAGCCCGTGCCGCGCCCGTCTAGCCCCCTCGATCCGGCCGAACAAAAGCTGTTTAGGCATGCGGTGGCTGGGCATGCGGGCTACATGACCCAGCCAACGCAGCCTTGCCTGCCGGAGGAGCTCACTGATGGGACTTTGCCCAGATCTTTCAAGGATTTGTGAGCTCCTCACACAATCCAGCCTGGTTAAACCCAGGATGGATCGTAGGCAGGCCAGCCTAAATGTTTCCAACCGGCGAAGATGCTCCACCAGGGGGGTCCACGTCTCGCAAGCGTAGAGAAGGGAGGGAATGACCGTGGCCGAGAAGACCTGAAGCTTCGTGCGGAGCGACAGACCAGGTAGCTTCCACACAGCGTTACGCAACCGATGAAAAGATATTGCCGCTCGACTGATTCGGAGTGAGACCTCTGCTGATAGACTGGAGCCGGTCATAAGCACACTGCCCAGGTATGGGAAACTCTCCACTCTCTCCACAACTGCCCCATCACCAATTGGGAGTTGTGGGGGTGGAGTGTCCGATGGTACAAAATACCCAGGCAGGTGCTTGGTTTTGGTGGGGCTGATGGTAAGGCCCCACCTCTTAGTGGCACGCTCCAGTCTCAGCAGCAGCGCCTCCAACTCCTCTTCTGAATGAGCAGCTATTACCAAATCATCGGCATACATAACGTGGTTGACCAATAGGGAGCCATCCCTTGATCGCACCCGGGCGTCGATCAGCCTCCCATTATATCTGTACCAAACGGAAATTCCCCCGGTACAGCTATTGAAGGCTTCACGAACTACGCGGTCAAAATAGATGTTAAATAATGTGGGAGCCAGAGGACATCCCTGTCGCACCCCAAGGTGTACAGGGAAAGGCTCCGACTCCCGGCCACGTAGTTTTACCCGGGCCCGCTCACCATCATGAAGGTCCTTAATGATCGTGAGCAGAGGGTCAGGGACTCCGAAAGCACGAAGAACAACCCAGAGTCCAGTCCTACTGATGGTATTATAGGCCTTGACCAGGTCAATAAAGCAGAGATGTAGGTCTTTTTGGAATTCCCTACACCTCTGCTGTAGCAGACGGACAGAAAATATGGCATCTGTGCAGGACCGCCCTTTCCTGAAACCGCATTGGGGTTCCGCAAGCCCCTCCTCAGCGTGCCTAGCAAGGCGATGTTGAATAATCCTTGCCAGGACCTTACCCGGCACACTGAGGAGTGAGATGCCCCTGTAGTTGTTACAGTCTGTGCGGTCACCCTTTTAAAGAGGGGGACCACCAGGGCATCCTTCCAGTCCTGCGGAACCCGTCCAGTGGTCCAGACTGTTGTTATGATGTCATATAGGGCAGTCTGTGCATAAACGCCACCCTCCCTCAGCATTTCGCTTGGGAGATCATCTCTGCCCGGTGCCTTCCCTGGTCTCAGACTCCGGATCGCCCTCAGTACTTCCTCAACAGCTGGAACCTCAGCCAGCCACTCACAGGGGGTGACCTCTTCCAATATTTGAGGCACCGCAGCCTCAGCAGGGTTATCCCCACTTTGTGCCATGATGTTTTCCTGGCTGAGAGAATTTCCCTCCCCCAGGAACCTCACAGAAATGCTCAGCAAATCTGCAAACCTGTTCCTGGGGGTCGGAGATTGGATCACCGTTTTTTCCTCTAATGATGGTAATAGGTGTGGCGCTGCAGGTTACTTTTTTGATGGAGTTAAATAGTGATTTGTGATCACGGGCCACTGAGGCAGACTCCATCTCCTCAGCAACCCGCGACCACCACCCATCCTTACAACGCCTTACGGCTCTCCGAACTTCCGAGCGAAGGCTGCGGTAAACCTCCTCATTCTCTGACGTGGGATGCTGTAGGCGATGAGAGTGGGCCTGTCGCTTTTTCTCAATTAACCTGAACACCTCCTCTGTCAGCCAGGGTTTCTGGGGAGGTCTGGACCGCGTACCCAAAGCAGCCATTGCAGCTGCATGAGTCACAGTCCTAAACCTCGCCCATTTACCCTCGACATCAGGTGGAGTGGGGGACGATGCCAACCCCAGCTGCAAGCGATGATGAAATTCTCGCTTGCAACTTTCATCAGCTAACTGAGACCAGGCCACTTTTGGTTGGAATGGGATCCTGGGTGTACACCCACCACCGGAGTGGAAGAAAGGCAGGCGCATCTTACAGATGACTAGTCGATGGTCAGAGGACAGATCAGCTCCACGGTAGGTCCTGGTGTCAAGGACATGGGTTCGCATCCGCTGGTCCGTCACTATGTAGTCCAGCAGATGTTCTTGCTTGGACCCGGCATGTATCCATGATGTTGTGTGGATGCGCCGATGCCGGAAGAGCGTGTTGGTAATTACAAGCCCATGGGCTGCACAAAAATCTAGCAGCCTCCTACCGTTATTATTGAGCTGATCTGGCCCATGCCTTCCAATCACTCCAGACCAGGTGTCAGCATCATGACCAACTCGGGCATTGAAGTCACCCAACAAGATGACTCTGTCCCGAGTGGCCACTTTAGCCAGCACCTGTGACAGACGTCATAGAAAGCGTCTGACTCATCGGCTTTGCTTGCATCCCTCCACGGATGTTCGTCTTCGGTGGGGGCATAAGTAACCACGACCACCACTCCTCGCCTCTGGTTGATGGGAAGGCGAGCCCAAAGTATCCTGGGGCTTACAGCTTCCCACACCTCACCGCCACGCTCCCACGCCCCCTTCATTCTTTTGTTCAGAAGAAGAGCCACACCCTGTTGTTTGGCAGTCTCCTGCCCCGAGTAGAGGACTGTCCACCCCTCATGGTGGCAGGAGCCAGAACCGGTCCACCGGACCTCCTGAATGCCACAGAGATCCAGGCGGTACCGGTCCAGCTCCCGACAGAGGAGTGGCAGCCTCTCCTCCGCAGTGAGCGTTCGAACATTCCACGTGGCCATCCGCAATGGTTTTTTGTTGTTTCTGGAGGAGCCCCGAGGGTGAAAATTCAATCTCCTGGCTCCGCCAAATGGGGTTTGGCCAGGAGACGTCATAAAAGCCTGACCCCCCGGGGCCTCCGGCACAAGCTTATTTGTTACAGGTTTATGTTTAATTCGTGGTTTAGTGGTAATGAATTGAAGGTGGAGGGGTTACCAGCCCCTCACACCCGTCCAGAGCCCCCGTTTAGCCACTGTGGTGGTCACAGACGCCATGAGGGGAGAGGCCAATGGGCATTGGCCCTCCCCCCACAGCACTGCCCACGACAGTGTTGCCCGTCCGGCACCGCGAGGAGGTAGGAGGTTGTTTTGCCGGACACAGACACACACACAGACTCACACACAGACGCACACAGACTCACACAGACACACACACAGACACACACAGACTCACACAGACTCACACAGACACACACACAGACACACACACAGACTCACACAGACACACACACAGACACACACAGACACACACAGACACACACACAGACACACACAGACTCACACAGACACACCCACAGACTCACACAGTCTCCCTGGCGGGGGTCTTGCACCCGCCCTCAACGGCTTCTTCGCGTGCGGGATACATGACGTCACGCCCTACCAAACACGATGACGTCACTGCCGCCCTTGCCGCCGCCGTGACGTCATACGCCTCGTTGGGCCACAGGGATATTTGGCCGACGGACAAAGGGCGCGAACGAAGTCGGCCCTCTGTACTCTGGACGCGTCGTGCGTGAGGGAGATGAGCACGGAGGTGGCTTCGCTGAGACCCGCGTGAGTAGCCTGCGTGCTCGATTTGTTTTGTTTGTGTTGTCGTGAGCATTTGCCGAGGAGGTGAGAATTTGTGTTGAGAAAGCGGAAGGCCGAAGGCTTCAAGCGTGTAGGCCTTAGGCTTCTCTCGTGTAGGCCTTAGGCTTTGAGGTGATTTAGTCGTGGTCCGTTCGCTGCTGGATGGATGTGTAACACACGTACGTTGCGTGTGTGTTTGTGTTGTGTTGTGTGTTGTTAACGATCTTATTCGGCTCCGGCGTAGAAGCAAAACGCGAAGAGATTCCGTCGCTCCGTCTCCGCGGAGGTTTCGCGGCCTTGCAACCCTCCCCCCCCCTCTCCTCACCATCAATCGCCTACCTCGGCTCCCCCACCGATGTCGCTATTCTTTTAATTAATCTTTCCCTTCGTGTCGTAATTTGGCGCGTGGTAACGCGACGATTAAATGTGTGTAATGAATGTGTTTGTGTAATTTTAGAGAGACGCGAGGGGAGGTTTTAGTGGAGTTTGTGCGAGAAGTCGTTGGTGGTGACAACGGCTTCGCCATTTTAAGTTTCACTTTTACACCCGGAACTGCTGTTGTTGTTGTATCCACCACATCTTAAGATTTAAATGTTCTTTCTACATTATTGTTGTCTTATATTCATGAGTGTGTGTGTTTGTGTATGTAGTGTAGTGTTCCGTGTTGTGTGACGATCTCCCCCCCCTACTTCTTAACTGTTATTGAATCCACCACGTCTTGCGATTTAAATGCTCAATAGCTAAATTTTTTTTTCTTTCTACATTTTTATTCTTTCTACATTCTTATTGTCTTATATTCATAAGTGTGTGTATATGTAGTGCAGTGTTCCGTGTTGTGTGATGAGTTCCTCCCTACTTCTCAACTCGTATTGTATCCACCCGACCTTGCAATTTAAATGTTCAATAGCTTCATTATTATTCTTTCTACATTATTATTGTCTTATATTCATGAGTGTGTTTGTGTATGTAGTATTCCGTGTTGTGTGATGAGCTCCCCTTACTTCTCAACTGTTGTATCCACCACGGCTTACTATTTAAATGTTCAATAGCTACATTATTATTCTTTCTACATTATTATTGTCGTATATTCATAAGTGTGTGTGTGTGTTTATGTAGTGTAGTGTTCCGTGTTGTGACGATCTCACCCCCGACTTCTCAACTCGTGTTGTATCTATACCTTGCGTTTAAATGTTCAATAGCTTCATTTTTATTATTTCTACATTATTGTTGTCTTATATTCATGAGTGTGTGTGTTTGTGTATGTAGTGTAGTGTTCCGTGTTGTGTGATGAGCTCCCCCCTACTTCTCCACTGTTGTTGTATCCACATCTTACGATTTAAATGTTCAATAGCTACATTATTATTTCTACATTATTATTGTCTTATATTCATGAGTGTGTGTGTGTGTATGTAATGGGACGTTCGGGGGAAGGGCAACAAACTATGAGTCTCTGTGAGTCTATGGGTCTCTGTGTGTGTCTGTGGGTCTCTGTGTGATGTTGTGGGTCTCTGTGTGAGTCTCTGTGAGGCTGTGGGTCGTCTGTGTGAGTCTGTGGGTCTCTGTGTGAGTCTGTGGGTCTCTGTGTAAGTCTGTGGGTCTCTGTGTGAGTCTGTGGGTCTCTGAGGTTGTGGGTCCCTGTGTGAATCTGTGGGTCTCTGTGAGTCTGTGGGTCTCTCTGTGAGGCTGTGGGTCCCTGTGTGAATCTGTGGGTCTCTGTGTGAGTCTGTGGGTCTCTCTGTGAGGCTGTGGGTCCCTGTGTGAATCTGTGGGTCTCTGTGTGAGTCTGTGGGTCTCTGTGAGGCTGTGGGTCTCTCTGTGGGGCTGTGGGTCTCTATGTGAGTCTGTGGGTTTCTGTGTGAGGCTGTGGGTCCCTGTGTGAGGCTGTGGGTCCCTGTGTGAGGCTGTGGGTCCCTGTGTGAGTCTGTGGGTTTCTGTGTGAGTCTGTGGGTCCCTGTGTGAGGCTGTGGGTCCCTGTGTGAGGCTGTGGGTCCCTGTGTGAGTCTGTGGGTCCCTGTGTGAGTCTGTGGGTTTCTATGTGAGGCTGTGGGTCCCTGTGTGAGGCTGTGGGTCCCTGTGTGAGGCTGTGGGTCTCTGTGAGGGTACGTTGAACTTCTTTCGCACCGTACATAACCAACTGCGCTAATCGGACGTGCGGGGGGTGTGTGACAACAAACTAAACACAAAAAGTTGTTCCAAATAAATTCGTTTTCAATCTAGATTATGTAAAAGTGCAGCCCCCCAGTGGCTATGCTGGTCCATCAAGCCACCACGGTCCCACAGAGGCGTGGGGGAGACCCCTATCCAGCAGTGGATTGACAACAGGGCCTGTTAGAGCTACATGTCCTGTACTGTGTAGTTACGTTGTAATGTAACTACACCCACGAACGAATAACATCAGAAGTGAGTGATGGGTACACATTTAGCTTACTGACAACATTGCCAGGCGCAAGAATAGAATACACGTGTACCATAATCTATGATGACACGTGTCTACCAAGGAAAGCCTTTAAAGCCTCAATTATTTCGAAAGGGTCCTGCAAAGTCTTAAGTGGGGATTCGATATTGATGTGTCATATCCGCATTTATATTTTCCACAGCGACAGTAATGATAGTTTTGAGTTATGTGTAATACGTAGCTGTCAACCCTACGCTTTATCTGTATTTTTGTACAGGAAAATTTAATTTTCAGGTCCATACGGCGCACGGGGTGACCAATAAGGTCTGAATTGGTCTGTGATAAGGTAGGCACTGATAAGGGTTGACAGGTATGATAATATAATTTAGTATCGTTGTCACAAAGGTACGGTCCATGCCAGGTAAGATCAGCAGTTCACCAGCATTGATGTATTAGACTGCTGACGAAACACTGAATGTCGTAACTTCTCCATAGTTGCTTGTGTCTAATCAATGCTGCCGAAATTATACACTCCCAGACGGCCACGTGGATGATGTGTTGTAAGATGTTTTTATTTCAAGATACGGATATGGAGCAGTATACTGTTTTCCACAACAACGCTAATGATTATTTCGAGTTGTGTAACTGCCATGGGGTTATTTGTAAGGTTACTTCTCAGCATCAAGATGTTGCTTGGCTAATGCCAGTTACAGTGTGTGCTTATGCTGTAAAATGTTTTATCTGTGGGAGGAAAGCCATGTTAGAACAGTTTGAGACTGTTAAAACGTCACACAGAAAGGTGAATCCAACCCAAGGGGCTTTCTAGTTTTTTGGTCACAAAAGCAAACACATTCCTGCGGAGGGAGCTGGTAGGAGCGTTGGGTTGCTCGGTCAATGGCCAGGGTCAACGGCGGCGTGGTGTATTCCGCAAATATGGCCGACTGTGAGGGCGGGCACAAGCCGGCGTGAGTAGATTAAACGTTGAGTTTTATAAGGGCACCACGGGGTGGCCAGCCCCTCCCGACCCAGCCCCTCCCTCCCCACCCAGCCCCTCCCTGCACGATGGACGGACACAATAATCCCCTGTGGGCTGGTGTAACCAGGTGGTTCCTACCAGTAAAATATATCCTGTATCTGTGGGAAATTTTTGGAAGGATAAAAATGGTGAAAGAATAAGAATAGGCTTCACCCTTTTTGCCGATAAACCAGGAGGTGTTAAGATGTTCAAACACCAAATCGACGCGCGTATTGCAAGGCATCGCACATACTTGTGGCAAAACATCTAAATAAACGTGCTCTGATAATATAGTGGTATCGCGGTATACGTCGTGAATTCGTTCCAGAAGGTAGGACTTATACCGAAAATTACGTATATCCTTCCATTAAAACTTCAGGAAGCTGAAATTCTGGGGTTTTTCTTTTTTCTGTCTTTTTCTTGACTTGGACCTGGTTGAGGCTCACCAGGTTTGAGTTTTACTAAAAACCTGTCCACTGAAGTTTGTTTTTGCTTTCTAAGAATGTTCCTGAAGTGTGACATTGTCTGGTCATCCCACACAATACTGTTACGGCTTGTTAGAGCCGTAACAGTATTGTGTACGCGGAGACTCATCCCGACCCATACAAGTTCGAGCAAGCGCGTCGTATCCCAAGCAAACCCAGCTTAAATATACGCTGCCAAGCGTGGTGGTGCTCATTCAGACGCTGTCTTTCCGACAGACCTGTTCTTCACCTGAGGACGGCTGCTTGCGTTGTGGCCGAAACGTCGTGAGAATTGTATTTTATTATGTTTTATTTTTATTATTTTATTATTTCCCTTCTACGTGACTTTACCGAAAGAACCAAGAAGACAGTAACTAATTGGCACGTCTTGTTTACGCGACAAACCATTACGGAAAAAAAATCTGACCCGCGTCTACTGGACATCTGAGAAAAAGGGCTTTATATGAATAAATACTCTGATTATGAATTGTCTGTGGCAGGCAGCGACGAGTTTAATGACACATTTATATTTCCGCCATCTAACCCAAAAAAAACCCTTGGTTATGGACTTTATAGTAGTGTAATATGTTTTGACGGTGGCTCTCCGCGTTGTGCGTGGTGGTGGGATGCAGGCGGCGGAGCAAGTGGGACGAGGCGGGTACCAGCGATGATCGGGTCCCGTGTGCGCTGGAGGCCGCCGCCGCCGCTGCGGCGCGCATCAACAACATGCTGGTGGCCCGGGGGAAGCTCAAGGCGCCCGCCAACGTGAACGTGAAGACCGGCAACGACACGGTGCGGGCTCCAGCCACAACGTCTTTGTCGTCATCATCGTCACCGTCATTCTTAGCCCACGATCAATCAGGCCACTTCAACACGTAGGCTTTTGTGACCACTATCCGTAATACAGGTTTCTTTTGGGTTAGGTCGCGTGCTAGTCTTCAGGAACACAACTTCCACATTATAGGAGAACACAATGTCTCGCACCAGCGTGTAGCAGAGGTCGCAAACGGGTTTTGATTCCTTACCCGTACCCAGCCGCACCAGGGTCGCAAACGGGTACTCTACCCGTACCCGGCCGGGTACGGGTAGGCTACGGGTATCGGGTACCTGATTGCGACCTCTGGGATGAAGCCATGTTGCAGGCGTGGGTGGGTTGATTCTAGGAACTTGAATTGTGAGAAGAGACAAGACGTTGGGAAATGAGTTACAAACGGTGACTCACCAGTGACTCACGGCCTACCCGTACCCGGCCGCACCAGGGTCGCAAACGGGTACCCGTACCCGGTCGGGTACGGTTAGCCGGGTATCGGGTAGGGTATCGGGTACCCGGTTGCGACCTCTGGCGTGTAGTGATGGCCACTGACGGCGTGTGTGCGCTTGTGCGCATGGGGAGCGGTTAGAGCGCTGCGCTACGAACCCGGCGACCCTGGTTCGATTCCCGCTCACGGCCAACGCCATTGACGAATATCTGAACCGCTCCTGGGCCTTCCCTAGGTCGACTCAGCCTCAAATGAGTACCTGGTGCGGTGTGTAAACATCCCCACTAAAGACAACAAGGGCGGTCGGGCGTGGTGCTGGCCACCAACCCCCTCGTACCGTTCCAGCCTTCATGTGTGCTCCCGAACGACACTTGCCCCAACAGTCTGTTAAAGGCTATACGGGGGATCTTTGTCTTTGTGTGAGCAGCAGGTTATTCCTGGAATGACGAAGTCGTCCCATGAGAAGGTGCAGGTCAACCTGGACATCAACGACATCCCTGCCGCAAGTCGCAACAAGATCACCCTCGTGCAAGTGCAGGAGGAGGTACTAACGACGACAATGATGTAAAGTCACGTAGAAGGGAAATAATAAAATAAAAATACAACATAATAAAATGGTTACATGCTAATTTTTGACTTTAACATCCTGCTAATTCTCTCACATTAACACGGCTTATTCAATGCTACATTCTTCTGTTGATATGTAAACTCCTTTGTCAAGGCGATCTTCTCCTCCCACCCAGCGTAAAATACGCTGCCAAGCTTAGCAGTGTTCATTGGAGCGCTGTCTTTCACACAACTCTGTCTTCACCTGAGGAACGGCTGCTTGTGTTGTGGCCAAAACGTCGTGAGAATTTAATAAAAAATTGTATTATTTTATTATTTCCCTTCTACGTGACTTTACCGAAAGAACCAAGAAAAGATGAATCCCTGCAGTCACGAAAGCTTTAAATCGAAACTTGTCTCTTGTATTTGCAGATAAGTAAGCAGACGGGCACAGTGGTGTCAACCAGAGGGCGCTATATGACTCTGGAGGAAAAGGCAGTGGCTTCTCCCGAGTAAGTTGGCTACTTAATAATGAACTTGCTCATAGGGCTGCACGGGAGCTTCGTGGTAACGCTTGTTCCTTGCAGCAAGAAGGGCCCAGGTTCGATTACCGAATCTGGCGGCTTTCTGTGTGGCGGTTGTAAGTTCTCTTCCCGTGTTCGACAGAGCGTCGGTGTGAGCTTGTGTGGATTGTGAGTGCGGTGTGTAGTAAATATCGTCGCTACTGGGGAGACAAAGGCGGCTGATCGTGGTGCTGGCCGCCCCCACCCCTCTTCGTAGGTGCTCGCTTAACGGCACTTGCCCCTACAGTTTGTGAAGGCTATACGGGGGGGGGATCTTTGCCTTGGTTACCTGCTGTGTTACCTGCTATGTCACCTGTTGTGTTACCCATGAGTCTTCAATAATGAAGCAGAGGTTGCAATCGGGTACCCGATACCCGTACCCTACCCGATACCCGGCTACCCGTACCCGGCTGGGTACGGGTACCCGTTTGCGACCCTGGTGCGGCCGGGTACGGGTAGGCCCGTGAGTCACTGGTGAGTAACCGTTTGTCACTCATTTCCCAACGTCTTGTTTCTTCACACAATTCAAGTTCCTAGAATCAACCCACCCGCGCCTGCAACATAGCTTCATCCCAGAGGTCGCAATCGGGTACCCAATACTTGTACCCTACCCGATACCCGGCCGGGTACGGGTAGCCGGGTATCGGGTAGGGTACGGGTACCCGTTTGCGACCCTGGTGCGGCCGGGTACGGGTAAGGAATCAAAACCCGTTTGCGACCTCTGTAATGAAGGCTTTGTTGACCGCCACATGAGCAGCGTCCTTCACATTGAATCATCAATAAACATCGATCATTGTTCACGCTATACCTTGCGCGTGTAAGAATTCATCGCGTGTGAATTTTACAGACGATGTTCTAATGCTAAACATGCGCTAATGAAGAACAATGCCGTACAAACGAGGTTGATGCCCCTTTCCTGAGGGCCGTGGTTCTTTTATCGGTGGTGCAGGATACACGCGGCATCTGTTAGGGGGATGGCTTTGCTCATGCGGAGTCATGGAGCAGTGCTGCTTTTTCTTGGTTCTTTCGGTAAAGTCGCGTAGAAGGGAAGTAATAAAATAATAAAAATAAAACATAATAAAAAATTCTCACGACGTTTCGACCACAACGCAAGCAGCCGTCCTCAGGTGAAGACCAGGTCTGTCGGGGAGACATTCAGACGCTGTCTCCCCGACAGACCTGTTCTTCACCTGAGGACGGCTGCTTGCGTTGTGGCCGAAACGTCGTGAGAATTATTTTATTATGTTTTATTTTTATTATTTTATTATTTTTCTTCTACCTGACTTTACCGAAAGAACCAAGAAGATGAATCCCTGCAGTCACGAAAGAAGCTTTAAATCGAAATTCAGTGCTGCTTTGTGCGTGTGCACCACGAGCAGTTCTGAACACGCCTGTTGTATATTCCTTGCACTTGTTTCACACCCCGTACTTAGCCGACCGTGCTAATCGGAGGTGCGGGGGGGGGGCAAGGACAGCAAACTAAACGCACAAAGCATCCGTTGCATGAAATGGGCTGAACACGTGCGCTCGGCAATACACCTGCTGCTGTTTGGGCTCTCTCTCTCTCTAGCCTTGACCTAGGCCTCGGCAAGGAAAGGTAATTGTACCCTTTTTACCGGGTAAAGGTGTCGACATGCCAAGGGGTAAGGGTAAAGGGTAGGGTAAAAGAGGTAGGCTCGTTGCTTTTTACCTTACCTGCTAAAGGGTAAAAGGTAGGGTAGAGTGATTGTATTGTGGTAAGGTAAAGGTATGCTCGTTGTTTTTACACTTTTACCTTACCTTGATCATCTGCTCGGACATAAGTGTGACCATGAAGCCTGTTTAATTGGTTCAACTTGAGGTTTGTGTTTTAATTTTGTGCAAATCGTTCATTTGTTGACAGTGACCAGCCACTTCACCTTCATATCAAGGGGAGCGGCGCGGATAGTGTGAGCTGTGAGTACCAGAATGCATGTCAACTTCTTTCGCACTGCATGTAGCCAACCGTGCTATTGGGATGTAGCCCCGTCTGCACTGTTTCACCCCCACACTTGCTCCCCATTTGTAATGCTGCCCCGTCGTTTCTTTCCCCAAGCTTTTGAAATAATAATAACCTTGGTCATTTCAAATAACGTGTTAACCCTTAGAAGGGAAATAATAAAATAAAATAAATTCTCACGACGTTTCGACTGCAACACGAGCAATCGTCATCAGGTGTGAAATCCACAGCAAGAAAATTTTCACACCTGATGATGATTGCTTGTGTTGCAGTCGAAACTTCGTGAGATTTTTTATTGTTTTATACATATTTTTTATTATTTCCCTTCTACGTGACTTTTTCCGAAAGAACCAAGAATATGAATCCCTGCAGTCACGAAAGCTTTAAATCAGTATTAACCCTTATTACCCCACCACTTTGATAGCGCTTAATCTCGTACGTAGTTTTTCACGACCGACGTGACGGTTCACAATTTATTTCTTTAGTTGTGAGGTCGTCTCGGCGTAGTCGTGTCAGAAACGTGAAGCCCTCCACCACCCGACCAAAAAAAAAATGTATCGGCGCAAGTTAATTCGTTTTGTCTTCGACGGCGCGGTTCGATGCTGGCCGCTTGACATTTTTTTTGGGCCCGCGCTCGGCAATCGTGTTTTTAAAAATGAAAAAAAGTAAGAGACGCATTGGGGAGCAGCATTTTTTTATTTTTACCAGGTAAGGCCGTACAGCTACCGAATAAACCTGGCGATCACAAATGGTGACTCGACGAAGTGGCTTATCGTCGTGTGGACATATATAGCAGGCACATTACTCTAAACCCTTGGTGATGTTGATTTAAAATGTGGAGGGATAAAACGGAAGGGCCCGGAGAAAAATCCACATGACCACGGAGAGAGAGAGAGACAGACACGCAAACTCCAAATATACAGCAGCAGGCGTCAGGGTCGGGATCGAACACACGACCTCCTGTATACCAGGCGAGGTAGTTAACATCTCCGAGCCACAGTGATGATGATGAGAGAGAGACACGCAAACTCCAAATATACAGCAGCAGGCATCCGGGTCGGGATCGAACACACGACCTCCTGTAGACCAGGCGAGGTAGTTAACATCTCCTAGCCACCGTGATGATGATGAGAGAGAGACACGCAAACTCCAAATATACAGCAGCAGGCGTCCGGGTCGGGATCGAACACACGACCTGTAGACCAGGCGAGGTAGTTAACATCTCCTAGCCACCGTGATGATGATAATGATGGAGAGAGAGACACGCAAACTCCAAATACACAGCAGGCGTCAGGGTCGGGATCGAACACACGACCCTCCTGCATTACCAAGTGTTGGCTTTTCGTTTATTGATGGCTATTGCGCTTGTGACAAACTTTTTATCGGCGGGAAATCGGCCTATGGGGGGGGGGGGGGTGAGGAGGGTCTAGAAGGTGGAGCGCCGTGAGGTTTGGCGCTCCTGCCGATACTGCCCTCCCAGATCAAACAACGGCGGTGACACGAGATGCCTCACACCCTGAGTCCGTGGGTTTGGTGCACTGACACTCACCTACAGCGCACTGACACTCACCTACAGCGCTGCGCAATGCCGGTGCGTACCGGCATCGCGGCCTCCGCGTTTGCTCAATTTGAAAATGGGCCTGCAAAATTTACTCCTGGGATTACACGCGGATTCATCTCGCCCCCCTCCCCTACCGAAACCGCTGCGGACTGTGACTGTGACCTTGAGGCCGTGACCTTGAGGCCGTGACCTTGAGGCCGTGACCTTGAGGCCGTGACCTTGAGGCCGTGACCGAGAGCTCGTGACCGTGAGGCGGTGGCCGTGAGGTCATGTGACTGAGGCCGTGACCATGAGACATCGCGCCCCTTTCCTTGGTGACGATCGCCCTGCGCTCAACGACGAGTGGCGCGAATACCGAGTGTGCTACATCAGTGTTCTGCATTTGCGAGGTCCGGGGCCACCACTAACGGGCCCCTGGGGGCCTTTAGTGAGGCCCATGACGTGACCCCCCCCCCCCCCCCCGACAGTACACAAATGTGAAAACACCACTTGTGTAGGCGGTGTGGCGGCCCTCGCACTGATGATGTCTTTTCGTCGAAAGTGGGGCCCCCCTCTGAAAACTAACACTAACTACTACATTATGAATAATAGTTTAGTATACTTTTAAATGTTTTTTTGCTTTGGTTTTCTACTGGGCAATACTTTGCTCAAAACGGTCCAGTTTTTTTCTCAATGCATTCACACTCTTGGTCTTAGTTGGAAAGTGTTACAATAGAGTAGCAGCAGCATACCAATGTGTGTTTACACTAACGTATTCAATTGGTTTACATTATACCGCTCTGACCGATTATACATTTACATATGCACAAATGACGAGACAAAAAATCCCCGGTATAGCCTTGTTGGCAACATGTGTGAAAGCCGACATGGCACACGAGGGGGGCCGGGTGATCAACACCACACGCGGTCGGCATCGTCTCCCCCGTGGCAATATTTACACACCGCACCAAGCGCTCGTTTGAGGGCAGGCCCAGGAGCGGTTTAGATCATCGTAAGCCGTGTTGACCATGAGCTGGAGTCGAACTCTCGTCGCCGAGTTCGTTAGCGCAGTGCGAGCGCTCTCCTTCGAGCAACTCCCGACGCCCATCCGATGGATCGTGAGAGGAGTCCGCACAGAGTTGCGACGTTTCACCGGTCGCTCTCCGAACGCCGTACACTGTCTCGCACCGGCGCGTGGTGGTGGTGGTGGCGGCGACTGACGGCGTGTGTGTGCGCATGTGTGTGCGTGTGTACGAGTGTGTGTGCCCATGGGGTAGTGCGGCGGTTAGCACAGATTAAAATTCCTCGCCGAGCTGAACTCGCCGGCATTCAGATCGGATCTCATCTCGTCTTGTTTTTGTTTTCCTTGCCGTCCCGCAGTGGCCGTGCGGATGATCAACGATAAGATCGACGCGTGGGTGCGCGGGAACGGCCTGTACGAGCGCGTGTCCCTGTCCGACCCCGGCGTCGCCGGCATCGGCACGACCTCCCAACCGCCGCCCCCCCCGTGCGGCTTCGCGGCCGAAGCTGTGCCCACGTACCCGCCGGCCGCGGCGATGACGGCGGGGGCGACGTCCGGGATGCTGTACGCGCCGGCGCCGGCGCCGCTGCCGACCGTCGGCTTTGCGTCGCCCGCCGCGGTCAAGACTCCGGCGCCTGCATACCATCCGGCGCCCGCCTACCACCAGCCGCCGATGCCGGTGGTGCCGCAGGCGGCGCCGGTTGCGTACTCCCACCCGACGGGGAATGCGTTCGCCCCGCCGGCGAGTTACTCGGCACCGCCGTCCGGCTTCCGCATGTCCGCACCGCTCGCTCAGCTGCAGCCCGGAGTACGTGAGCCAGATGTTCACTGCCTCGCCTGGTTTTCAGGAGGTCGTGGGTTCGATCACGACCCTAGCGCCTGCTGTGTATTTGGAGTTTGCATGTGCCCTATCCCAGTGGTTGCATGAACAACAAACTAAATACGAAAAGCAATTCACAAAAAATTAGTTTATCAGTGTTGGTGATATTTAAAACGCGTGACTGGTCGGCTGTGAGGAGCGCAACGTCTCTACGCCGCGTCAACGAAGGGGGAGCAGCAGAACTACACAAACTCTCCTGAGGACCTCTCGTCCTGACCAGCCGATCTCAACGTTGGGCATTTAGTTCCTGAACATATTGCCATCGTATGTGTAGTGACGACTTGTCACACTTCTCTTGAGATGGAACTTGATTGAAGACCCGTTCACTTGATAATCAGGTGGAGAGACGCCCATTGCAACAGCCCCAAGTCTCCCGTACATCTCCCTTGTACACCGACACGAGGTCACGCCCCCCTTCTCGATCATTCTCGCTGACTCTGGACGCTCGCTCCACCCACAGACTCCACCGCCCTCTTCCGTCACCTGACCACGCTCCCTTCTCGAACATTTCCGTAGTCACCAGTCCCTACGCACTCACAACTGATACCCCCGTCATTACCTCCCGTGGCCACTACTAGTCTCCCTCGCACCGCATGCAGGCTCTATTGTCACTACATATGTAAGAATAAATAGAATATCATTCTCATCATCGTTGTCGTCCTCATCATCTTCTGGCCACGGTCTCCCGTTGCCAGGTCTCGCGGAGGTCCGTCGTGACATTATGCCAGTCGCGTAGGGTCGGCTTTGTGCGATGGGGGGGGCGGGAGGGGGACACGCGAACTATTGTAACGGTCTCGTGAATCGTTACACAAAAGGTTAATGTAAATAAAAGATTGCGAGGTCCGCGATGGTGACTTGCCACGGGTACCATCGTGTGCCCGCTCTCCCGCACGCACTCGGTCGTCACCGGCTCCGCAACGCTCCCTTGCAGATGCACTATGTGCAGGAGAAGGTGTTTGTGGGGCTGGAGCACGCCGATCCCGCCTTTGGCCTCAAGGCCTCCTTGGAGGGCCCCGGCGGCTCCTACCTGCAGCACATCGTGCGCGAGACCGGCGCCAAGGTTCACCTGCGGGGCCGCAGCTCGGGCTACATGGAGCACGCGTCCGGCCGCGAGGCCTTCGAGCCGCTCTACATTTACATCAGGTGCGTGGGTGGGTGCGTGGGTGGGTGCGTGCGTGGGTGGGTGGGTGCGTGGGTGGGTGCGTGGGTGGGTGCGTGGGTGGGTGGGTGCGTGGGTGGGTGGGTGGGTGCGTGGGTGGGTGGGTGCGTGGGTGCGTGGGTGGGTGGGTGGGTGCGTGGGTGAGTGGGTGCGTGGGTGGGTGGGTGGGTGGGTGGGTGGGTGGGTGCGTGGGTGGGTGGGTGGGTGGGTGCGTGGGTGCGTGGGTGCGTGGGTGCGTGGGTGGGTGGGTGGGTGGGTGTCTGCCTTTGTGGGGATGTCCGTGTGTGTGGGTCTTTCTGAGAGGTGCTCGCTACAGCACTTGCCCCAACAGTCTGTGAAGGCTATACGGGGGATCTGTTTCTTTCTTTGTTTCCCTACGTGTTTCTCTTTTGTGTCGAGTAATTAGCTGTTTGTAGATATGTGGGCATGCCGTTGATACGTTATATCATGTTTCATTTGCTTTCAGATGTAACGATATGCGAAACACGCAAAAAAATAATGATGATGATGAAGGGGTCTTACTCGTTTTGTCCAGCCACTGGCCGTATCTAAACCTGCCTTGAAAAATCTGTTATTCCCAGCCACCCCAGACCAGAGAAGCTGGCTTTGGCGAGAAAACTCTGCGAGGATTTACTCCAGACGGTGAGTGGTCGTTCAAGGGGTGCGACATGCACAGCGCTCGGTGTCGATCGCCGGGCTCCGCCTGAATAAGCCGCGATGAAATAACCCAGCGCAATTTGAATCAAAGGTGTAGTCACCTTATTTTTAATTATCATTTGCCATCGGAGAATAGATTTTCCACAACTGCGCGTGCAGTGATTTAATCGCAGCGTGTTCCCGATTGGAATCATCTTTGATTCTACGGATGACATCACGTAGCTTGATACTGGTAGGAACCTCCTGGTTCCACCAGCCCACAGGGGATTATTGTGTCCGTCCGTCGTGCACCCAACAATGTGAGGGGTGGGGCTGGGTGGAGAGGGGAGGGTGGGGCTGGTTGGGGAGGGGGTGGGGAGGGTGGGGAGGAGGGGCTGGTCACCCTGTGATGCCCTTATAAAACGCAACGTTTAACCTACTCACGCCGGCTTGTGCCCGCCCTCACAGTCGGGCATATTTGCGGAATACACCACGCCGCCGTTGACCCTGGCCATTGACCGAGCAACCCAACGTTCCTACCAGCTCCCTCCGCAGGAATGTGTTAATTATCATTTGCCATCGGAGTGATTGCAGTGATTTAATCGCAGCGTGTTCCCGATTGGAATCATCTTTGATTCTACGGATGACATCACGTAGCTTGATTTAACTTGAAAGCCACTCTCGTGCTGGTGCAACTGTTCGGGGAAGGAGTCTTTTCTTTCCCTGTGCAGGTCATGGGGTTATATTCCACACAGCAAATGTAGTTGGTCTCCTTATTGTTATAAATGGAAATGCCATACGTGGGTTTCCTCTCACTCATGCCATGAATATCGTGGTTATTTTGCATAGCTTAGAGTTACATTGTACATAGTTCTAGTTTGTTTATTACTTAGTCATCACGTTTATTTTTTAAAAATCTGTTTTTGGTCGATGCACCCCCCCTTCTGCAAACCCTCCCTTCCCATGTGACCATTGATAAAAAAAACCCTCCATCGCCTAGGGTGTTTAACCTGAAATAAACTGACTGACCGTACATTATCACGCCGGCCAGTGCAGATTTTTTTTTGCCCCTCGGGACTGCTTCAGCTATCGCAAAGTTAATCGTAACGCCGGTAATTGTCACGATTTGTGGTTACGTTTGGGTACGGAGCCGCAGTCCCGCTTGTCGCTTAGCTAATCGGAACAACTGTCCAATTCCCTTTGGGCTCGGGGAACATTATGCAGAGAGCGTTTTAGCTACAGCTCACGTTTACAAAGATAGCGGATATTTTTTTTACCGTTGTCATTTTGGTGAGCCGGGCCACGCGTGCAAATGAGACCACATTTCCTTGCAGAAGACGTTGACTCGACTTCTTGCTGTGCATCTCACACCTGATGATGATTGCTTGTGTTGCAGTCGAAACGTCGTGAGAATTTTATCCGTTTATTATTTTATTATTTCCCTTCTAACGTGACTTGATTTCACACCTGATGATGATTGCTTGTGTTGCAGTCGAAACGTCGTGAGAATTTGTGTTGTTTTATATTTATATTATTTTATTGTTTCCCTTCTACGTGACTTTACCGAAAGAACCAAGAATATGAATCCCTGCAGTCACGAAAGCTTTAAATCGAAATTCTTTCTGAAGGGTTGCTCTGTTTTTTGTCTGTCTCTGCAGGTTCATGACAAGTACAGTGCTTACCAGAACTCGATGAGCGGTCAGGCAGGTAAGCAGTTCTGTTTGACACGTGATCGCCTTTCGTGACCAATATTCGTAATAAAGGTTTTTGTTTGGGTAGATCGCGTAAATATCAATGTGTCGTTAAACCCGCCAGCACCCCACATAGCCAATTACTTAAACAAAACGTGCTAATTAGTTACTACTTTGGTGAAGTGCTGTCGGGCGGTGGCAGGTTTAACGACACGTGTGTGTGTGTGTGTGTATATATATGCGATATAACGCAAAAAAAACCAAGATTACGGGTTCTATCGTTGCTACGGCGGTGTTGGTGAAGGTGGCGCTGCTGGCGATGCTGCACGTGGCCGGTGATCCAGCGGAGGCAGCCAGGGCTGCTCCGTCATATACACAGATTCGTGAAAAACTTGCAAACCCACTGGGCTTTGCCAGGAGATGGTGGCAGTACAGCAAGTGGGTTCAATTCCCCCCAGGGATTGAGTGTCACACCTTCCCCACCTTCCTACATGAGTGGGTTTTCTTTAAGTTGTCCGGTTTTCTCCCACGTGCGTGAACACACGCATGACTGGAGTTGAACAAATATACTCAATATAGGATCACAGAGCTTAGGTAATGGGGTGGGGGGGGGGCGCCAGTTCTGGCTGCCCTTAACGATCGTCCGCGGTTTCTCGCGCCTCTGAAAACTGCGCGCGGCAGCTGCGGTGGTGTCACACGCGAGTGCGGTTTTCTTTTGTACTTCACCGTGAGTAGCCGAGCGCGAGCGGGGGAGGGTCTAGAAGGTGGAGCGCCGCGAGGTTTGGCGCTCGTGCCGATACTGCCCTCCCAGATCAAACGGCGGTGATCCGAGCTGTTCCGCCCTGAACCCCGTGGGCGTGGACGTACTACACTCACCTACAACGCCACCGGATCGTCACTTGCTTTACCGGGTTTTGGGCGTGTCGCGATCCGACCGGATTTTTGTTCCGTTTCTTCGTAGCCACACACAGAGGAGAGGTCAGAGAGAGATGGAGTAGATACGATTCGGAGACTCCACTTGTTTGCAAAATGTGGCCAAATAAGGCTCACGATTATAAACAAAAATTCTGATGACCAATTTTGAAATCGACCTTTTGAACAGTTGCGCTGTCGGTAGAACGTTGCGTATCAAGTCAAACGTCAATAATAAAACATGGAGTGATTTATATTACTGCCGTAGTGCCTTCCAGGTTACAGACGATGGTGCAGTGTGGCCCGTTTTTAAGAGGACATGTCTCTCGTAGCAGCTGCAGGTGTGCTCGTATTGTAAACAGAGGTCGCAACCGGGTACCCGATACCCGGCTACCCGTACCCAGCCGGGTACGGGTAGCCGTTTGCGACCCTGGTGCGGCCGGGTACAGGTACGCCGTGAGTCACTGGTGCGTAACCGTTTGTCACTCATTTCGGGTAGGGTGCGGGCAGGGAACGGGTACCCGTACCCGGCTGGGTACGGGTACCCATTTGCGACCCTGGTGCGGCCGGGTACGGGTAAGGAATCAAAACCCGTTTGCGACCTCTGATTGTAAATTATCTTTGCCAGAGTTTTAGTGCCTGCCTATTACAGATGTACACACAGAACTGACTCAACATTCTGCATGTTTACCCAGGAAAGCCTCGCTGTGTCCCAAGATTCTGCAGGTTTATCCAAGTAGGCAGGGGGGGGAACGGTGTTGCCGCTATGTGTCATCCCAATTGAGTGACTTGTAGATCATTTTTCAGCTTTGCAATGTTATGGGCAACACCCGTTAAATATATTCACGGGAGGAAATCAGATAGCTTGGCGGGAGTGACTCATGCAGCCAGCTATGGCTGCAGGGTTTGGTGGTACATGTTGTTTATGTCGTTATTGTAAAAATTCGGTCACAGTTCCTATGATCACTGTTACATTGCTTTTATGGCTTTATTTTGGTGATTTCGAAAGTTTTTTGGTTGGCCATGTTTGTTGTAGTACGTAGCTAGACTGATGGCCTTAATCTAAGTTGTCTTGTGGTTGTTGTTTAACTTGCATCCCACTGGGATTTTTGCACACAGCGTTGGTGTACGGTGCTTTTTCTGCAATATTTTGCTGTCTTTTCTTGGATTTTCTGTTTGCACATAGTCACATAGTCACTTTAAGATGTTTTCTTGTTCATTTTCTTGTTTTTTGTTTGTTGTGGTTGCACCCAATTCAAGAGCCGAATGGCTCGCAGGCCTATACCAAATAAATGAAACTGATGCAGAACACAGGGATGACGTACCGACTCGTCACACTATCACACTCACTGTGCAGAACATAATAACTCCACATACTCGCGCACACACTCTGTAGAACAGGAGCAGGGTGTACAAACTCCACACACTATCACTCACAATCGGCAGAACAGGGGCAGTAATATACAAAATTCTCAAGACAGATCCCCCGTATGGCCTTAACAGACTCTTGAGGCAAGTGCTGTTAGCGAGCACCTATGAAGGCCAGCACGGCACACGAAGGGGTGGGTGGCCAGCACCAGGTACTCATTTGATGCCGAGTCGACCTAGGGGAGGCCCAGAACCACAGCAGGCAAATACTATGAATGCAGGTTTCTAAATGTGGAGGGAAAAGCCCACAACTAGTTCCGATAATCGTCACTTGTCTTGGTATTGAGCGGGTTCGTAGCACAGCACGCTAACTGCTACACTACCGCACTCCACACACACACTCTGCAGAACAGGGGCAGAATGTACAAACTGCACATTCACACACTCTGCAGAACAGGGGCAGCAACATAGAATCTCCACACAAGAATAAGATTCTAGGCCTTTCTTGTTTGCGGGTCGCAAGCATTATCGCTGCGCTGCCATCCAACGCAGCCTCTGTCGGAAGTGTTACAAAAATACAATGTGACAGAAGTCGTCTGCTGCCTTTCACCTCTCCCCGTGTGTCTCCGCTATCGCGCAGGCTACTCGCAGATGAACAACTACGGCAGGATGTCCATGTACCGCCCTGCCATGCAAGCACAGCCGGTTGGAACGGCGTGGCTGGGCCCTGACGGCATGCCGACGCCGTCACCGCAGCCGCCTTCGACGAATGCGCAAGGACTGGCGTACGCACAGTACCCCGCTCCAGCCTCCATGTACCAGCCGCCCGTACAGGTAACTAGCGGTCTCGCTTGTTTCATCGGCAGCAGAAGCCGTGAACGATCAACCTGCTGGATTCTAGATTTGAAGCTTTCGTGACTGCAAGGATTCATATTGTTAGGTTTTTTCGGTGAAGTCACGTAGGTAAAAAATTTAATTTTAATAAAAGTAAAATAAAAATCACGAGGTTTCGGAGGCAACACAAGCCTCCGTCTTCAGGTGGAACCGTTACAGCACGACTGCTGTATCAAGTGAGAGAAATGCCAAGAAAACGGTCCTTGTATATATACTTGTTGAGGGTGGGAGGAGCCAAGGTGGGCCCTGGATATTATTTTTGTGAGGTTCGGTGCGGCTGAAGCACACTGTTAGGAATGAGCCTTTGTTGTGTAAACTAGGTGCTGATGATGTAAAGGTGCGTGTAAAAGGGACTGAGCCTTTTTGTTATGTAGAGGTGGTGCGGCTGAAATCGCTGCCAGGAAATGAGTCTTTGTTGTGTAGAATGGATGTTATCTGCCTCGCCTGGTGGTACAGGAGGTGGTAGGTTCGATCCCGACCCCTGACGCCTGCTGCTGTATATTTGGAGTTTGGGTGTTTTCTCTGTGGTCGCGTGTATTTTTCTCCGGGTCCTCCGGTTTTGCTCTCCACGTTTAGAAACACGCGTTTTAGAGTATTCGGCTGCTATAAATTTCCACGTGATGAGCCACTCCGATTCGCTATCATTGGTGGCTGTATAGCTCGGTGGGTCTTGGCTGGTAAAATAAAAAAAAACTAATTTTTTTATAAATAGGGTTTATATTCTCTGGTTCTTTCGGTAAAGTCACGCACGTAGGTGAAAAAATAAATAAACTAAATCACGACGTTTCGGAGGCAACGCAAGCTTCCGTCATCAGGTGGGGACAACCACAGCAAAAAATGTTTTTACTGTAGTGTGCGCACTACAGTAAAAAATTATTTGCTGCAGCAAATCTGGCTGTGACGGTCGCACCTGATGACGGAGACTTGTGTTGCCTCTGAAACGTCGTGATTTTTATTTTATTTTTATTAGTTTTTATTTCATTTTTGTTACCTACGTGACTAAGAGTATATGTTCTCCAATCCCTGTGTTCCAGCAGCAGCAGCCACAGCAGCAGCAGGCGCAGCAGACGCAGCAGCAGCCAGCTGCGACGGTGGCAGCTAGCAAGCGGCGCTTTGTGGAAGAGCTTGACAAGGCCGACCCGTCCAGGCTGCTTGGATACCAGGTAACTAGCCACATCGCGCCACCCGCTCAGTTCTCCACAGCAAGGGCACAGGACTGTCGTCATCATCGTTATTATTATTATTTTGTTACTATTAGTACGACTATGACGCCTGGTTTATCCGGGAAAGCCTCCCTGATTGTCAGTGACGCTTTGTTCAGCAGTGTCCTGCCAAGTTTTTGGTCATTAGCGGTGCGATTCGATTTTTTTTTTTCTTTCAAAATTGGACCGTCACGCCGGCACGCAAATGTTGCCGCTCTCGTGAATGACGTCACGGGGTCTTTAACGTTCTCTGAAGCGAAAGGCACATTATTGTTAGTACGCCAGCGCTGCAGTATTAGCCAGGGCAGCCGCTTCATTTGAACCTCGGTCGTTCTCCCGCTTGGTCGTGTCGCTGCCAAAATAGGCGGGTGGGAGGGGGGAGGGAAGGTAAGAAGACCGTCTCACCTCTGTTCCCATGTGCCGCTTGACGGGAGGTGATGGGCGGTGGATGTGGCTTATAGGGTGTTCCCTGCCTTTGCAAGGCAGGATGTGTGGGGGAGTGACCTTTTTTTGTTACTTTTTATTTGACTAATCGATGAATTGCCCCGGCTCTTCTCTCCTGCATGGATCGGAAACCCCGCTGTGTGAGTGCATCCTGCGATGTGGGACACGCGGTGTTGCTGCAGAGTGTGTGGCTCTTGAGTGCGTGTTGCCTGTGCTTGTGCGAATGTGTGGGGGGGGAGCGGTGGCCCAGCGGTTGATGCACTGAGCTACGAAGCCGGCGAGCCGAGTTTGATTCCCGCTCAAGTTCAACACCAGTGATGATTATCTGAACCGGTCCTGGGCCTCCCCAAGGTCCGATTAGCATGGGTGGCTACGTACGGTGCAAAAGAAGCTCAACATATATACATCCAAATGAGTTCCTGGTGCTATGTGTACCGCGTTGGCAAGATCTTAACTGCCTCGCCTTGTATACACAGGAGGTTGTGGGTTCAATCCCGACCCTGAAGCCTATATATTTGGAGTTTGCGTGTTCTCCCCGTGGTGGCGTGGATTTTTCTCCGGGTCCTCCGGCTTTTCCCTCCACGTTTAGAAACCTGCATTCAGAGTTTTTGCCTGTTGTGGTTCTGGGCCTCCCTTAGGTCGACTCGGCATCAAATGAGTAACCTGGTGCTGGCCACCCACCCCCTCGTCTGCTGTACCAGCCTTCGTAGGTGCTCGCTAATAGCGCTTGCGCCAACAGTCTGTTAAAGATTATATGGGGGATCTTTATACGACTGAGAGTGTGTTGTGGCGAGGTGGGTGGAGCGGTAGTGTAGTTGTTAGCGCATTGCGTTGTAAATCTGGAGTTGATTGCACAGCTATTATAACAATTATCCAAATCTCTCCTGGGCTTCCCCTAGTTCGACTCAGCCTTAAAAAGGTACGTGGTCTGTTGTGTAAGACATCAACACCGGGGAGACAAAGGCAGCCGGGCGAGGTGTTGTCTACACCGCCCCCCCCCCCCCCCCCCCCCCCCATCGTGCCAACTTTAATAGGCGCTCACTAACAGCACTTGCTCCTAGAGTCTGTGTCGGCTGTCGGGAGGGTGGGGATATTTTTTGTCTTTGCGGCAGCTGAATCAACCAGTGCTGCTTCTGTGTTGCCACGATTGTACGCGTGATGTCGCTATCGCTGTCGAGAGTAACAACGACTCTACATTCGGCAATAACACTGCCTTGAAAGTAACAAAAACATATATAAAATATACATGATGAAACAAATAATACGAACGTAAAATAACAAAAGTGGCTTTTGGATTATATTATGATAAGTAAAACCCCATTAGAATTTTTTTTTTAGAAACTTGTGGTCGTCAACACTTGGGGCAAGGGCCTTGCTGCATAGCAAGCGCATAGCACGTGCTCCCAAGAAGGGCCATTGCCTGAAACGTCGCCTGTTACTTACTTTGCCTTTTTAAGGCCAAACGGTTCTAATCCCGCTCCTCCGGTCGGCACGTTTTGCTACGTACGGTCTCACACGGTTGACGAGCGAGTTTATTTGTTGCTTGTGCGCGCCGCTGCTCACGTAGCAGCAGCCGCAGCATCAAGGTCTCCGACGTAATGTGTTTTATCGTCGTAGACGCACTTTCTCCGGTGAGTACGAGTCTCCGTCGCGGGTCTCGCCGCGCTTTTCTCTCCCTGACGAGCGCTGAACGCAGCCGCCTGCAAATAGATTTCACGTTTGGAGGCGGCATCGGTGGTTTGGATTCCATTCGTGTGGGGGGGGGGTGCTCGCTATGTACAGTGCGAAAGAGGTTCAGTATAAAGCACTTACTGCCCATCAAACACTCCCCGTAGACTCTACCCATAGATGAACACTACCCCTCAACTCAACACTACCCATAGACTCAACAATGCCCCTAGACTCAACACTACCCCTCAACTCAACGCTGCCCATAGACTCAACAATGCCCCTAGACTCAACACTACCCAAGACTCAACACTACCCATAGACTCAACACTACCCATAGACTCAACACTACCCAAGACTCAACACTTCCCATAGACTCAACACTACCCATAGACTCAACAATGCCCCTAGACTCAACACTACCCAAGACTCAACACTACCCATAGACTCAACACTACCCATAGACTCAACACTACCCATAGACTCAACACATCACCTACCTCAACAGACTCACACCCATAGACTCCCAACTCACACTACCCATAGACTCAACACTACCCATAGACTCAACACTTCCCATAGACTCAACACTACCCATAGACTCAACACTGCCCATAGACTCAACACTTCCCATAGACTCAACACTGCCCATAGACTCAACACTACCCATAGACTCAACACTACCCATAGACTCACACTACCCATAGACTCAACACTGCCATAGACTCAACACTACCCAGACTCAACACTTCCCATAGACTCAACACTACCCATAGACTCAACACTGCCCATAGACTCAACACTTCCCATAGACTCAACACTGCCCATAGACTCAACGCTGCCCATAGACTCAACACTACCCATAGACTCAACACTGCCCATAGACTCAACACCCATACCCCTCAACTCAACACTACCCATAACTCCACTGACCATAGACTCAACACTACCCATAGACTCAACACTGCCCATAGACTCAACACTTCCCATAGACTCAACACTGCCCATAGACTCAACACTGCCCTAGACTCAACACTGCCCATAGACTCAACACTACCCTCAACTCAGCACTACCCATAGACTCAACAATGCCCCTCAACTCAACTACTCATCAACTCAACACTGCCATAGACTAACACTGCCCCTCACTCAACACTACCCACACTCAACACTGCCCATAGACTAACACTACCCATAGACTCAACACTACCCATAGACTCAACACTGCCCATAGACTCAACACTGCCCATAGACTCAACACTTCCCATAACTCAACACTGCCCATCAACTCAACACTGCCCATAGACTCAACACTACCCGTAGACTCAACACTACCCATAGACTCAACACTGCCCATAGACTCAACACTGCCCACAGACTCAACACTGCCCATAGACTCACACTACCCATAGACTCAACACTGCCCACAGACTCAACACTGCCCATAGACTCAACACTGCCCATAGACTCAACACTGCCCATAGACTCACACTGCCCATAGACTCAACACTGCCCATAGACTCACACTGCCCACAAACTCAACACTGCCCATAGACTCAACACTGCCCATAGACTCAACACTGCCCACAGACTCAACACTGCCCATAAACAGACTCACAC